TGCCTTCCCCCCATGACCCATGCACTCCCAGGAGCCTCAGCCCCCCACTGCCCCTGCCTCCCACCCCCATCCCACTCCTCACCCCCCTGCTGCTGAGCCTTGGGCCCGGCCAGCCTGCTGCCAAGATCCCGGTGCCAAGAGGAGCAGGAACCTCAGCTGCTGCAGTTTTGGCACCTTGAGGGCCCAGCACTTAAAGTGGGCCCCGGGTGCCATCCTGCCCATGCTCCTGGCCACGTGGCCTGTGTGCCAGAGTAGGGAGATTGCTGTACGACTCCCCAGTGTGGCCGTGCACACCTGCAGCTTACAGTTGCAATGTGCCAGTGTTTAGCAAGGGATATATTGCAACCAGCAAGGCAGTAGAAAAACCAGCCCAGCCAGGACTAGGTGGCAACCCCAACACATGCTTCAAAGTGGCTGGGCGTGGGTGGCCCCCCAGCTCCGGAGCCTCTACACTCTACTTGGTTCCTTGTTATGCTAGCGCAGGTTTCAATCCACACTCCCTAGATGGGTGATTTTAGCAGACTTTGCTTATTAACGTCTACTCCTTATTGGAGGGCCGTAGGTGAGGAACCCTTGACCACAACACGCACTGCTAGCTCATCCCCCAACCCTGGTGTGGCACCACAGATAAGCCTGCACCAAGTTTTCCTTCTTCACTGGGGGAAAAGGGCTGTACAAAAGTCCATTGTTTGTGTTATTGCCCCACTGTAATGAGGTGCAAACCATCACCGCAGAAAACAAATCACAAGACTTCTGATTCCTGATGTGATGGGCACCATGGTGAAAAACAGCTCAGTTAAGGGCTTGTCTACACTCAAAAGCAGGGCCACGTTAACTAGTCCAGTGCAGTTAACGAAGCAACACCCGGCTCCATAAGCTCTTCCTCCAAGCCCAGCATGGGTGCAGCAATACCAGCATGAACGTTTAGTCTGGTTTAGAAAGGAAAATGAGCTGTGTGGCTAGCCAACACCTTGGGACTGATAAACTTGCATCCACACTAGGGCTCAATCCAGTGTTAGAGTACTCTAACCACTGTACCAAGGACCAGATTCAAAACCCACTGAAATCACAAGTTGTTTCTGAGAAGAATGAACTTACCCCTGTTAACTTCAAGGCATGAGCATGATCCTAGCCAGGCTTTTAAGTGAATTTCTTCCCAAGAGATGCCCATCTGGAGACCCTGACAATCAGAACCCTTTTCTCTCTCCCTTCATTGCATTCTAGACAAAGACACAGGGAGTTCACACGGCAGCCCCACACCCACAATTCACTAGAGAATTTCCCTCCAAATGAAGCATCTTTTGTCTCACACGGACTCTGCAGTGAGGTGACAGTTGGAAGAACCAAAGGGCCCGGGGTTGGGGTGGGGGGTCTGTACTGCCCGGGGGTGGGGCAGAGGGGTCCGGGGGGGTCTGTACTGCCCGGGGGTGGGGCGAGG